GCTGCTCCTTTGTGGGTTTCCTAGAGGAGCTCCTGGCCTGGCCTTCACCTCCTTTGGAGCTTGTACCAAAACTGTTGCTGTTTTGGCTAAGGGCAGGTCAAGTACATCCATCCCAGGTGCCAGCTGTATCACACTTCTTGCTTTCACCATGTGCTTTTAGAAAGGGGTTTTGGAGATGCTGGGTCAAGCCCTGCTAGACCACCCCAGCTCCTTGCATGGCCTTACCTGCCAAAGCCAACTGCTCAAATTCCAATTAACTTCGAGCTATCCAACCACAAGGTGTTGGAACCCTGCCCCAGACCATTACAGCTGCCTTTCACTCTCTCCCCCATGATAAATTCATTTAGGCATCGCCAAATGGCATCTTAGCGTGTTAAAGCAAAGCAGAGATCACAGCAAGATGGTGGATGATAGAATGTTTGAACCCAGTGAAGACCTTTTTCCACCAAAGACCTATTTCCCTTGAAAAATGCCTGAACACAAGACGTGCCTCTGGGACGGACTTCTGTTAGATGCTGAGGGCACTGGAGGGTCTATGTGCTGAGGAAAGGCTGAGAGCCCTGGGGCTGTTTAGCCTGGAGAAGACTCAGAGGGGATCATCCTGAGACAGGATGTGGCCAGACTCTTTTCAGTGGTGCCCAGTGACAGGACAAGGGGCAATGAGCACAAACTAGATCATGGTAAGTTCCATCTTAACATCAGGAAGAACTTCTTTGCTGTGAGGGTGGCTGAGCCTGGAACAGGCTGGCCAGAGAGGTTGTGGAGTCTCCTGCTCTGGAGAGATTCCAAACCCACTTGGATGCCATCCTGGGCACCCTGCTGTGGGTGGCCTGCTGGAGCAGGGGAATTGGACAAGATGATCTCCAGAGGTCTCTTCCAAGGCCCACCATGTTGTGATTTTGTGTTCAGTGTCTTGGTCTGGGACTCTGGCTGATCCTTCCTTTCAGCCTCAGTTTCTCCCTTGAGCTTTTATCCCTATTCCCTGCATGAGCTGCAGGACTTGAAAACTTTCTTGCCTGTCCTGACACATGATCTGTGAGGTTGTGGTCTCCAGCGTGGTCTGCCAGTTTGGTAGTAGGGTCTTACAGTCCACTGTCTCAGTGGAGATGGGGGATGGTGATCCCTGTGGTAGCAAAGATACAAGGGTAGATAGACAGGTGACTATGGACACATGTGAAAATAGTCTGGAGGGAGTTAGGGCTTCTCCCTTCAAAAAGGTGACAGGACCACCAGCCCTGCTGAAGTGCACCTGTACCAATGCACACTGCATGGGCAACGAGCAGGAGGAACTGGAGGCCATCGTGCAGCAAGAAAGCTGTGATGTAGTTGCCATCATGGAAGCATGGTGGGACATCTCTTGGGACTGGAGTGCTGCAGTTGATGGCTACCAGCTCCTCATGGTGAGGAATGCAAGGCAATGGGGTGGAGATATGACTGTGTCAGAGGGGGATATGGCTGTGTGCTACTTGATGATGGTGACGCCAGGGTTGAGTGTATACGGGTAAGAATCAAAGGGAAGGCCAGGAAGGGAGATACTGTGGTGGGAGTCTGTGACAGGCCACCCAGTTGGGATGGTGAGATTGATCAAATACTCTACAAGCAGTTGGGAGAGGTTTTGCATTCACTCCCTCTTGTTCTCATGGGGGACTTCAGCTCCCCAGATGTGTGCTGGGAATATAATAGAGCAGAGAGGGGATGGTCACGGAGGTTCCTGGAGTGTGTGGAGGAGAACTTCCTGATGCAGCTGGGGAAGGAGCTGGCTGGAGAAGGTGCCCTGTGTCGGGTCTGACTGAGCTGATCTTCCCGAGCTGACCAAAGGGACATTCCAGACCCTATGGCATCAGCTCAACTATAAAGCTAGAAAAAAAGGAGGAGGGGGGGGCTGCTCCTTTGTCCTCCAGAGCAACCGCTACATGTTTTGGAGCCCTGCTTCCCAGGAAGGGCCAGACATCGCCTGGGGATGGGAAGGAGAGAATAAGTCTTCGGGTTTTTTCTCTTTGTTTCTGCGTGTGGCGTTGCTTGGCTTTGCTTTTCATTAAACTGCCCTTATTTTTACCCACAAGGGGTTTTGTCTCCATCTTATGTTCCTTTCCCCTTTTGCTCTGTGGAGGACGGAGAGGAAAGGGGAAGGGTGACAGAGTGGCTTGGTGGGCATCCCTTGCTCAGCCAGGGTTAACCCACCACATGCCCTCTTAGACCTGCTGCCTGTGAACTGAGAAGGACTTTTAGGAGATGTCACAGCTGGTGGCTGTCTTGGGCTTAGTGATCATAAAATAATAGTTTTCTATTCTTAGAGGAGCAAGGAGCGGGGTTAGTAGAAGTGCCATCCTGGACTTCTGTAGCACAGACTTCGGCCTCTTCAAGCAACTGGTTGGCAGTGTCCCAATGAATGAAAAATGACTTTTTAATTCAAACTCATTCCTTTTTGGCTCAATCAGGATGGCTCTGCTCCTCGAGGTTTTATACCAGGACTGGAGCTGGGGGAGGGAGTAACCTGAGCCATAATTCAGGAGATCTGCTCGTGTCTTTGGTGTCTCAAACTCTTTGGCTGTCTGGACCAACAGCCCCACATTGGAAAAGTCATCTTTACTGGGATGGTGGGGAAAGGGATGGTGGCATCTTCCTGCTGCCTTTTGCCTTTTTGGGGAGGGGAGAACTACAGGATTTTGTGCTTGGCACCTGTGAGATGGGATCAAGCTCTCCAGGTTGGCACCTGGGGAAGAGGCCAGTGTCCTGATATCCTGATTTTGGGTGCCTGGGTGGGGAGTATGTCCACACGGGACACAAGTCTTAACCAGATCTCTGCCCTCAGCTGGCCATGGCCAGCACTGGCCACTTCTCTTCCCCATGCCCATTTGGAACGTGCCTTCCCCAGGGAGCACGGCAGGCTGAGCACAGGGTCTGGAGCACGGGCAACACACAGCGTGCTGAGAGGATGTTTTGGTGCCTGCCAGACCTGGGAAAAAGCTTTTTTCCACTGAGTCATTTGCTGCCTCTGCTTTTTGTGAGACGGTGCTGAGATTTGGGGGAAAGGGAGATGGAAAAACCCAACCCAGATCTCCGTGCTCTGGCAGGACCAGGTCCATACCAGCACAGCTGCCCCATGTTTGCTTTTCGGGGGGAGCAGCAGACAGACAACAGCGTAAATAGAACAGGCCCAGCTATTTTGAGACATCGATTGCATGATCTGTGCATTAAAGAAAAAAAAAAAAAAAGAAACGAAAATCTTTGGTTTAGCAGCAACTGGCAACATGAGCTTGAGAGGAGCCAAGGCAGCTCTGGCAGGGACAGGCATTTCGGAGCTATTGGCCCAGGGGCTGCAGGGTCTTCTTGGTGGGCAGGCTATGAGGACTTTTATTTCAGCATGTGATTCTCTTCAAAGTCCCAGTAGAGGGATGGTTGCCCACATGTGCCACCATTTTGGTGTCATACTGCCACTGTTTTGGTGTTGTGCTGCAGCTGATGAGGAGGGGTGCCAGGAGATGTGCTTGGTCTTGGCAAGGGCAAACCATGCTCTTGGAAGGGATGTGGGTGCCGTTTTGGTGATGTACGCACACTCGCAGCCAAGGATGGGTGTCTGCTTCTTCTGGAGGTGTGTCTGGAGCTCCATGGAGCTGAAATGATTCCAGCCCTTTGCCCTGAGCAGCAGGCTGTGATGGAGTGCTTGCATTTTCCATTGGGTGTTAAAATCAGGTTCGTTTCTGGTGACGTAGTGCCAAGCATAGACCTTGGCAGGTGGGAGAGGAGAGCTTAGAGCCTTGGACATGGGATTTTCCTCTCAGTGTTCATTGCAGCTGTGACCAAGTGTGCAGGGCATCTGGCAACAAGCCTGGAGCTCCTTCTCCTGCAGCTGTGGTGGGATCATCCTGTCTTTGTCCCCATCCCCATCCCAGCTTGGAGGCTGAGCAGCAAGGGCAGAGGACAGCAGCTCCGCTCCCAGGAGCACCTGGGCAAAACAAATTGAGGTTTCAATGCTAAACAGCAACTTAGCAAGGAAGGTGGTGTTTGGGGTGTTCAGATAAAGTGGATGAGCCAGGAGCCACCCTTGAAAAAGAGGTCAGAAAGTATGAAAGCAGTTGCTGGAAAGAGCTCTTTCTCCGCTAGCAACCCCAGCCACAAAGGTTTAATCTGAAAATGCTTATTCTGCTATTATTTCTCTCCTTTCTTCTTCTCCATTGACATTGGTGGATTTTGCTGAGTAAACAGTCTATCCGAAGGCAAAACTTGTGTGGGGTGGGGTTTGCACTAGTAATTGTATAAGCCACGTTTATCTCTGCCAAATGGCTTTGGGAGTGGATTTTGGTAAGTTCTTCTTATGACAAAGTTTTTTTTGTTAGGGCCCTGGAAATCATCCTGTGCACCAGGTCATGCAGTGGTGGTCACATTTGACTTGCTCTTCTGTGAATCAACTATTGCCACTTTTTAATTGCTGCCAGAGCCACTGCTTTCTGCTGGCCTGCTGAGCTGGCTGGAGACAGGGCTGAACTATCCTCATCCTCACAGTCATCCTCACAGTCTCACCCCTTTCTGTATGACAATTTTGGAGGCAGAGTTCAAGTTTGGCCCTTGTAGCTTTAGTTCTGTGGTCCATGGCTTGGGACCAGCCAGACGACAACATTTTGTGCTGAAAGATGGTGTGGAAGTGTAGTTACTCCCCACAAAAGAAACCCAGCATGCTGGAAGAAGAAGTGGGGGACCCTCCAGTCCCTTGGGGGAAGCAGAAGACATTATTTACAGAGCAAAACCAAGGCAGGTTTTAAGTGCTCTGCTGAGCTCCCACTCAGGATATCTGCCTGGTGTGGTGGCCACATGGGGATGGTGACTGGTCAGGGCAGATGCTTTGGAGCCAGGAAAGCCTCCTAACTTATTGAGTGCAACATAGAAGATGAAGCTCTGTGTGTGGTCCCTCCATCTGTACCCAGCCCAGCAGCACCAACAGCCTTTTCTGCCTTTCCACCTGCACTGAGGTTCCTCCCTGTCCTCATGTCCTGCAGACTGCCTGGAGCTGCTGCGGCTGGACTCCATGGCGTACACCATGGCTCCTGTGCCGGCGGGCCCCGTCGCCTCCCAGTACTGCGTCTGCAAAGTCGAGCTGTCCATCTGCGGCCAGAACCTTCTGGATAGGGATGTCACTTCCAAATCTGACCCTTTCTGTGTCCTCTTCATGGAAGTCAACGGGAAGTGGGTGGAGGTAAGTCCTGAAGTTGTGTGGATTTCCTTCTCTTGTTGTTTGCCTGTGCTGTCTCCTCCCTCTGTGCTCTGCGACAAGGTTGGTCCCTGTTCCTCCTCAAGCTGAGGTGGAAGCTCTTCTGGTCCTCCCGAGGCTGTGCACGTGGCGTTGGGGTGTTAATTATCCTGTGTTTGGCAACTGGTCCTTTCCCCATCAGTGCCATCTGCTCTGTGCTGGGGGTTAGGTTTAACTGCAGGTCTCAAAGTGCTGACCTCTGTCAGGGAGGGTGGGAGACAGTGAAAGGATCTCCCTACCTTTAAAGTGGTCCTAGCCCCTTCTCAGTTTGCTGTAAGCTGGGAGCGCTTTGGAATTGTCTGCCTGAAATGCTGATCCATGGGACAATTAGATAGTGTGAGGTCCTGCTTGCAAGGGGACATGTTTCTAAGTGAGTCAAGGTAAGCTGGTTCCTGGATCTTGAGCTGGTCTTTGGGTTTCACTTGAAAAGTGTCTCTTTGTAGGGGCCAGGAGTATGTCGAATGGATGGATGGAGAGCGGCCCTGTAGAGAATGACTTGGGGATACTGGTGTGTGACAAACTGGACATGAGCCAGCAATGTGCACTCGCAGCCCAGAAAGCCAACTGAATCCTGGCCTGTGTCAAGAGAGTTGTGACCAGCAGGTCAAAGGAGGTGATTCTGCCCCTCTGCTCCACTCTCATGAGATACCACCTGGAGCACTGTGTCCAGCTCTGTGCTCCTCAACACAGTAAAGATATGGACCTGTTAGAGTGGGTCCAGAGGAGGGACATGAAGATAATCACAGGGCTGGAACACCTCTCCTGTGAGGACAGGCTGAAAAAGGTGGGGTTTTTTCTGCCTGTGGAAGGGAAGTCTTTGGGGACATCTCATTGTGGCCTCATTGTGGCCTTCTTGTATTGAGGTGGGTTAACCCTAGCTGAGCACCAGATGGCCACCAAGCCACTCTCCCCTTCCCCTTTCCTCTCCCTCCTCCACAGAGCAGAAAGGGAAATGAAAATAAGACGGGTAAAAAGCCCCTTATGGGTAAAAACAAAGGCAGTTTAATTGGAAAGCAAAGCCAAGCAATGCTGCACGTGGAAGTGAAGGGAAAAATACCTGAAGATTTATTCCCTACTTCCCATCCCCAGGCGGTGTCTGGCCTTTCCTGGGAAGCAGGGCTCCAAAACGCACAGTGGTTGCTCTGGGGGACAAAGGAGCAGCCCCCCCCCTCCTCCTCTATAGCTGAGCCGACCTCATATGGTCAGTTCAGGTCAGCTGTTCTGGTTATGTCCCCCCAGGCTCCTGCCCCCCATCCCACTGTGGGGGGAATGTTAGACAGAGCCTCAGTGCTGTGGGAGCTCTGCTCAGTGGTGCTCACAACATGGGTGTTCCAGCACCCTTCTGGCTCCACACGAGCACACTGCACCAGGAGGCTGCTGTGGGAAAACCAGCTCAGCCAGACCTGATACATATGTATAGTGTCCTCCTGCTCAGGACATCTCCACCAGCAGATGTGCATGGCTGCTGACAGCCCATGGGCTGTGGGCTCCAAGGAACATGCTGACACCCCCCCCGACGGCGGGAGGTGTGGGGGGTGTTTTTATTTTCCTTGTGAGCGCTAAGTTGCTGAGAGCTGCATCTCCCCACCTTCATACCCACACCAACACAAGCTTGCTCCAGGGCAAGACCCTGCTAACAGAAGGCTCTTTAAGGACAGGAGAACTTTCTGTGGCTGCTTCATCCCTAGCAGGGGGTGTACATGAGCTAAATCTGTCTCCTAGGTGCAGGCAGCGCACAAGGAGCCCTT